ACAATAGTCTCATTTTGTTAACAGTTAAAATTTCTCCAATAAAAGGGAATGAAGCCTTCCTGTGAATCAATTGTTTATTTAATGAAATGTGTTGATAGGAGAGATGTACTCATGAATTCCAAAGATATTAAGAAATGTTTCAAGGAAGAAATACAAGCTGGCTTTGCCTGGTATAGTGCTACTAAATAGAAGTAATGGGAGCTATGTTAAGAAGAGCGTGTGTTATTTTCCAAATCAGATTGCATGTGCAGTGCAAAGTCAACAGATGCAAAAGAGTCATGAATTATCTTAGTGTACAGGAAGAAGTATCTGCCATTAAAGAAGCATTAGAAGAGAAGCTGCAGATAAGGTCAATAACCCTGGTGAATATAGATGGAATTTGAGTAGGTCTTAGTATATATAACTTTCTGGCCATTCTAGTTAGAAGACAAACTGAGTGGATAGAGTATGAAACTATGAGTAAGATGACACAAACTATTTGAAGGACCAACCCCAGTACCTAACTCTACCTCTGTGATGGAGTGCTATGAAAATCTTACTAACATATGCATACTTATGGGATGATGGCAGATAAATGGATACCAGTAGTTAGGTGAGCATTAGATTTGTGTGAAACATATTGCAGAAATTAGGAAAATGTCTAGTCCTTCAAAGGAAATCTATTTACTACCTCATATATGGCTTTCTCCTCTTAGAAAGATTTAAATATCACAGAAATAGTGACCTTGAAGTAGGAGCAGCTTGATCCATTGTACTGGTGACCTTTGGACACCAGAGGGTTGGATGGGACACCAGGTAGAACATCATTCCTTTCTGGAGCTATTCCTAAACAGATACTTTGAACCCTCCCCAGGAGGCCTGAATAGCTTTGATTTGGTTGAATCATTACCATCCATTATTTGTGGTAAATAGAACAGATATTAACCCATGTATTGGAAAATGCATGTTGACATGTGCCAAATCACCCTCTTGAGAGAATTATTAATTCTGGGAACATTTCCAATTAGTCAATCATTACATCTTTTATGGAATATTTAGTCTTCATCTCTATTTCTTTACCTGTGGCAACATAATTGTTCTACTCGTGCATTTACATCAGAAGTTAACTCATCATTTAAGCTAATTCCTAAGGTGAGTAGGTTTATTCTTGTATAAAGGCATAAAACTTTTCTATTCTTCTCTTCTGCATTCTTTGGCTAGTTCTGTAAGTATGTTTACAAAAGACAAACAAGAGAAAAATAATCTTAAATACCGATATATAGGAGCACCTCAAAGACACAAAGGTCTAAAAACATTCAGGCATGTACAGAGGCTTATATACTGCCTAAGATAAGGGGAGGGAAGTGGGGATTTGGAGCTTCAAATGGGAAGAAAATGATTCACTCCAGATAAGAAGAGCAATTGTTTGGTAAATATATTCCTGTTCTGCCATGCACATAAGTCTTTCTGATATAAAAGAGTATGTTTATTAATTGCTTTTTTCCTGGTACAGGTTACCTATTTAACTTCTTTATACAATAGAGGAAGATGTGAAAAGCTGTTACTTTTTCTGGTGGGTCTTTCTTCCTCCAGCTAAAGAATTCACCTGCCAACGTAGCACATTCTGGGGTGATGTATTCTGCTCCCGCTCAAGTCCAAGAAGTATCCCAGGCTTGAAGTTGGGTTTGTACACTGATCTACCCCATGGAACCAGTCCCTTAGCCCTGACATTAGATAAGTTCAGTTAAACTCACTAAAGGAGGCAATGATGCATGTCAGCTCCCAAAATTATGCCTATATTGTGCAAGCCATTGCATATTTAACAATAGAATTTCTATGTAATCAAAGAAAAATAATATGATTGGAGCAGATTACAATTCCAGTTTCTGAGTTGAAGTCAGCAGGTTGAAAGATTTTTACACATCAGGCTTAAAACATCTTCAGATAGGGTGAGGCCAGGCAGTGGTAATCTGACAAATTTTCCTGGTATGCATCCTTAATGTCCCTGGTGATCTTTCTCAGTGGCTATATAGCAGCGGGCATGGTCCATAGATGAGCTGCTGTGGTAATTTCACTGAAGTTTAAACCAAGATTTCCAACTTAACATGCATGTCTTCTGGAAAAGGGCAGTTCTAGTTCTCGGTGACTCCAAGTCAGAAGGTTGGAAGAAAATTGGAAGTATTTGTTTGGAGGGTTATAGCCAAATACTGAAGGAAACTACAAGAATTTTGGTCCCAGTCCAGTTTATAGGTCAAAAAAAAAAAACCTCAAAGACAATGTATAAGACTTGAATCTGGCATCCACAAAGCTGTGGTATAGACTTTGCTGAAACATAATTTTTCTCTCTACAGTTATCCCCATTTCTAACAGAGGTAATCAAAATCAGACCAATTTGTTTGCAACTTACATCTAGTCTCATTAATCTTAGCATGAATATTGACATACGTGCAGTAGAAATAGATTAACCATATAGACTCTTTGACAGCTGACTTTGTTGGAACATGCCAAAAGTTGTCTGAATTTAAACTCTTAACAATATCTTGAGACTAGGAAGCCAAGCCAAGGAATTGCCATCAAATTTAGCCTGCAAAACACATAAATTTGCATTAATTCATCTTTTCTTGAGGTCCCCACATATCCTGAGGTCCCTAAGCCTACCAGGAATTGACCTTCCTTGCTCACCAGGTAAGGCTGCTGGGAACACTACAAACAAGGTACCAGAGTGATTTCTCCAAGGGGCCGTATTGGGTCCATAAAGTCAGCCTTAGTTGCCTCAAGCTGTCTCATCATGTGAGTCTGTTTATCTCCCTCAAATATGGCTTTTCAGTCAAAGACTTGATAATATCACCTGTGTTTTCAATTGTGCCCTGTTAGAAGAGGAAGAGAATCTTATACAAATGAATACATTACCAAAAAATTAGAATAGTCACTAAGAGTTTCTAAATTCTAGAGGGATGAGGTAGGGTGATAGAATAATTGTTTCATCCTGTTCCAAAAGGTACCCATTACCAAATTGCTGATTGTTTAATAGAAAAGAGAAAAGGTTTCCTTAGATATGGAGAAACAAACATTGAAGAAAGAGCGATGTTTCAAGCCAAAAGTCATAGAAATTATATTCACCCTCACTTTATTCAGTTCCATGCAATTAAAATCTCATTGATTTTGATCTTTTGTTAGCAGTTTTATGAAGCCATCAGTTTCTCCTTTAGAGTTCTTTAAATTATTATCCAGTTTGGTGGTATGATCTGAATGTTATCAGAAACATATGGTTGTTAGAATCCTCATCATAAATCTTATTGAAGACAAACACTTTTTCAAAGCATTAGAGTAAAACAGTACCTGTCTGCTCCTCTGTTGTCTTGTCTGTCTGTTGGTCTATTCCTGGGAAGCTCATTGCTATGGGCCCTGGCACCTTCCCACTCTGTCCCCTAATGTTGTCCATAAACTGATCTATTATGTTAATAAAAAAAAATAGGTGAAACACTTAAAATTGGCCATGTTTAAGATCTGATGCTATGTTATTATAAAGCACATGACAAGGAAGTTTGATATTTCTGTACTAATACAATCTGAAGAGGTTTAGCATCACTTCTTATTTAATAATATTTTCCAATAAGTTAACATAGCAAATAAGCCTAATTAGTTTCTATTCTCTCTTATTATAAGGAGAGAGAACAAATCTTTTGAGATGTTTCAGGGATTCTCTGCAAAGTCCTGAAATTATTAGGAGGTCAACAAGACTTCATTTAGAATTTAGTTTTTGTGAAAAATATCAAAAAGTTTTAAAACACATGATTTTGTCAAAAATATCAAAAAGTTTTAAAACACATGATTAATTAGGATCATAGGCCACTTATATATAATACTTAGTTACCCACTTAATAAAAGTGACAACATATTTTAAAAGCCAATAAATAGGCTCCAAAGTTGTGAGCAAAATTTGCTCTTTTAATTTTGAGCCTCAGTTTTCTAAGGTAATCAAAGACGTGGTAAAAACAACATGAAGCATGGGAAATTACTTAGATAAGACATAAAATCTTTCCTTTATAGGTAGATTGGTAAAAGGTAAAGAAAAATGTTTCATAGTCTTATAGACTAGGGAAACTTTGTCCACGTAAGTAATGAAAGAAAATTAACTTTCAGTTTAACATGGGCACAGCATATTAAAACTTACCTTTAAAACCCTTAATAGTAACACTTCTTTTTTAGTTCTATTTAAAGCTTATCTTTAAAAGCCTTATAATGAAAGTTCTATTTTAGCCACCTTGATGATACATATTCTTTTTTTTTTTATTGGGGTATCATCTATATACACTGTTATGAATGTTTCACAATATCAACACTGTGGTTATGATATTCACCCATATTTTCAAGTACCCCTCACACCCCATTGCAGTCACTGTCCATCAGCATAGTGAGATGCCACAGACGCACTACTTGTCTTCTCAGTGCTATACTATCTTCCCTGTGACCCCCCCACACCATGTGTACCAATCATAATGCCATTTTCTCTCCTTCTCCCTCTCTCCCCACCCACCCTTCCTCACCCTTCTCCTTTGGTAACCATTAGTCCCTTCTTGGAGTCTGTGAGTTTGCTGCTGTTTTGTTCCTTCAGTTTTGCTTTGTTGTTATAGTCCACAAATGAGTGAAATCATTTGGTAGTTCTCTTTCTCTGCCTGACTTATTTCACTGAGCATAATACCCTCTGAATTTCTATTTTGGAGAAGCATTGGTTCAGATCCTCTGCCCATTCCTTAATCAGGTTATTTGCTTTTTAGGTGTTAAAGTATGTGAATTCTTCATATATTTTGGATGTTAGCTGCTTGTCGGGTATATCATTTGTGAATATATTGTCCCATAATGTAGGATGCCTTTTGTTCTACTGATGGAGTCTATAGATGTACAGAAGTTTTTAGTTTAATGTATTCCAATTTGTGCATTTATTGTTTTGTTTCCCTTGCTCAGGGAGATGGTTCAGGAAAAAGTTGCCCATGTTTATGTTCAAGAGATTTTTGCCTGTTTCCTTCTCCATAGTGTTATGGTTTCATGAGTTACATTCAGGTCTTCATTTCAAGTTTACTTTTGTGTATGGAGTTTAGATAGTAATCTAGTTTCATTCACTTGCATGTAACTGTCCAGTTCTGCCAACACCAGTTGTTGAAGAGGCTCTCATTTCCCCATTGTATATACATGGCTCCTTTATCATATATTAATTGATCATATATGCTTAGGTTTATATCAGGGCTCTCTATTCTGTTCCATTGATCTATGGATCTGTCCTTGTGCCAAAACCAAATTGTCTTGATTACTGTGGCTTTGTAGTAGAGCTTGAAGTAAGGGAACATAATTCCCCCAGCTTTATTCTTCCTTCTCAGGATTGCTTTGGCTATTTGGCATCTTTTGTGGTTCCATATGAATTTTAGAACTATTTGTTTTAGTTCATTGAATAATGCTATTGGTATTTTGATAAGGATTGAACTGAATCTGTAGATTGCTTTAGGCAGGATGGCCATTTTGACAATAATAATTCTTCCTACCAAAGAGTATGGGATATATTTTCATTTATTGCTGTCTTTTTTAATTTCTATCATGAATGTCTTGTAGTTTTTTGAGTATAGGACTTTCTCCTCCTTCATTAGGTTTATTCCTAGGTATTTTATTCTATTAGATGCAATTGTGAATGGAATTGTTTTCCTGATTTCTCTTTCTGGTACACATTAGTGTATAGGAAGGCAACAGGTTTCTGTGTATTAATTTTGTATTCTACAACTTTGCTGAACTCAGATATTAGATCTAGTAGTTTTGGAGTGGATTCTTTAGGGTTTTTAAAATGTACAATATCATGTCACCTGCAAACAGTGACAGTTTATCTTCTTCTTTTCTAATCTGGATGCCTTTTATTTCTTTGTGTTGTCTGATTGCTGTGGCTAGGACATGCAGTACTATGTTGACTAAAAGTGGGGAAAGTAGGCATACTTGTCTTGTTCCTGATCATAGAGGAAAACCTTTCAGCTTTTCACTGTTAAGTGATGTTGGCTGTATGTTTGTTGTATGTGGCCTTTATTATGTTGAGGTACTTGCCCTCTATATGCATTTTGTTGAGAGTTTTTATCACAAATGGATGTTGAATTTTGTCAAATGCTTTTTCAGCATTTATGGATATGATTGTGTGATTTTTGTCCTTTATTTTGTTGATGTGGTGGATGATGTTGATGGATTTTTGAATACTGTACCATCCTTGCATCCTTGGAATAAATCCTACTTGATCATGATAGATGATCTTTTTTTTTTCTTTGGAAGCAGAGTAAAATTTTTATTTAAAGTTTCTTTGAGAGAAAGTGCAGGCAACCTGAGAGAGAGAGGAGTGCCCTGAAAAGCTGGAAAAAATTAGTTATGCACTTAAAAAGTACAGGTGACCTCAGAGAGAGGAGCACCTGAAAGGTTCAGGTTCTCCCTTTTAAGGATTTTCAGGAATGTGACAAAGGGCTACGGGTGTGTACTTGTTATGTGGTCTCAAGTATCTTTGATGAGACACTAAGTTTCTTATCAGTCCTCTAGGTAATTCTGCAAAATTAACTTAACACAAGAAATTTACTGCTCTGGTCTCTTCCCAGGATAGCAGCTTCCTGGTTTGGGAACATATCAGTCAAGACTGTCTGTCCTTCCTCCAGGATGGGCAGAGTTATTTGTTTTTTACTAAATAGTATGTTAACAATCTTTCTTAACTTCCTGCATACAATTTTGGCTTTAAGTTGCGATCTCCCTGTCTTTATTATGCTGTTTATAGGTGGGCCTTTTAGCAGGCTAAAGTAAATCTTACAATGATCTAGTTGACACAATGAAGACATGGGCTGTGCTCAGATACTTCTCTTTATCTGGGGAATATTCAAACATTCAAGGCCAAGTTGCTCTTGACCTTTTGAGCTTTAACTGATTAACTTTAATTCTGAGTATTTCTGGCTGTCTAGTTTTAACTGATTAACTGAATCCTGCTAGTCCTGAATTTCCAGAACCAACTGCTTGTACTGGGAGAGCACAGACACACCAGACCACAACCAGATTACGGGAGAAAAAGAAGTTATTTATTAGCAGTAAGACCACCTGCACAGGGGCTGCCAGCCTTAGATTAGCTAACAGCAAACCTCAAGAGTTTGGTCAACGTTTTTATACTCTCTGAACTTCCTTTTGACTAACTGTCCTAGTTTTGCTTAGTTGCCTGAGACTAGTTTCTAGGTCAATTGCCTCTTCCTAGGTTGACTAATACACACCAGTTTGAAATAACAGTTCTTTCAATAAAACAGTTTTGCAATAACAAGATATTGCTGTCTGCCACTTCTACTGAGACAAGCACTAATACAGAAGCAGAAATGCAAGTTAATTTTTAGCCCTCACAAATCCTTTCTAGGGGGCTTTACTGACCTTGTTCTTTCCACTCTGCTCATATCTATTTTCCTACCTAACATTCCCCCCTCAAGTAGTTGGGACTAACAAATCATTGGAGTGAGGGGCAATGACCACTCTGGCTGCTTGTGATGGATGGTGTAGTTACTTGGATCCCTCTGCTTGCTGACTATTGGGATGGTGGAGATTAGGACAGGAAGAGAACCCAGGTAGGGGTTTTAGCTGCTTGTTATTTGTTGAGGCAAGGAGGACTCAGTCTGGCTGTAGGAGTGTCTGTCAAGTGG